TCCATATAAGGAAACATTTGGTCATTCATTAATCATAACTTGACTGTTTTTCAAAAGTAATTTAGGGTGACCATAAAAGGAATTATCATGAATAAAAACAATAACAACAGCAATATAAACATCGTTTAAACCTTTTGCCAAATAGGGATGTTTTCTTGAATCCCACTATTTGGGCCTTGGGTGTGACCCCATTTAGTGGATAAAGTTGGACCATAGAGTTGGACAAACCTAGATGTCAATCCTGCCTCAGACCATTACTAGCTGTGTAAAGTTGACAATATTTCTCCACCCCTCTAGGGTTACTCTCCATCTGCCAAATGAATCAGCCTCTTTGGGTTAGTGTATGGATTTAAATCCCATGCAGGTAAATACTTATCACTTTGCCCAATACATCATCATATGTTAGTTAACTTTTGCTTTTAAAGAAGTGCTCCCAAAAGTTAGTGACTTTTCACAACAGCCATTTATTTAGCTCATGTTTCTGTGAATTGACTAGGTGTTTCTCCTAGTCTGGGTCCACTGGTCTCTGCTGGGCTCTCTCATGTATCTGCGATGGCAGTTGGACTGGCATTGGATGATCTAAGATCTAGGATGGCCTCACTGAGTGTCTGGCTGTTGGCAGGCTATCATCCAAGGTGACAGGAGTGACTGGCTATGATCTCTTGTCCTCCAGAATGCTAGCTCTGGCTTCTCCACGTGGTCATTATTGCAGAGTTCCCAGAAACAGCAAGAGGGAGGAAGCGTCAATGAACAAGTATTTTTCAGGATTTTGTTTGCATCACATTTGCTAAATTCCCATTAGTTAAGCAAATCCCAAGGCTGGCCCAGACCCAGTGAAGAAAATAACTTATGGCCATTTTTTTGTAGTTTACCACAATCATTGTCACCATCATCACAAAAACCAATATTTGTTGAGCACTGACTAAGTGGCAGGTACTGTTCTAATCCTATTACATGTATCAAAGCTTGTAATTCTTACCACAACCTTATGAGGCAGAAACGATTATATCCCCACATTGGAGAAAAGGAAACTGAGACACAGAGTGGCAAAGTAATGTGTCCAAGGTCACTCAGCTGGGAAGCAGGGGAGCTAGAATTCAAGCCAACAAACACCCCAGCGCCACACTCATGACTGTTCTATACTGCCTTCCCTTCCCACTCTATATATGTGGACTTTTCCAGGATTGCTTCTTTTTTTTTTTTAAGTGGACACTCTAATAAGTGGTTATAGCCTGATTTTAATATGTCCCCTGAGCATTGCCATATCTACCACCACTTCATCCACATTTTAGCATTTTTCCAGCAAGCACGTTGAATTCAGCTCATCCAGTATTTGTATGACTAGCATGTGTTAGTCCAGATCTTGGTGGAACCTGTTGATCTTTTCCTAGTCTTTGTGTATGGGGTGTTAGCAATGGTGATGTGGCACCTCAGAGCTTTATTCTTAGAGCTCTTCATCTTTTATTTCATCAGACGAGTTTGAAAACTTGGAAATAAGTGGCTGATAGCAATGCTGAATGATTACTTAATATGTGCATAGCATTTGTATATGTTGGAGGTGAGCCGCAACACCCCTTGAGAGCAGAGACCATGGCATTCTCTCTGTATCCTTAGCAACTAGTACAGGGAAGAGCACGCAGACGACACATTAGAAGAGCCCAGTACATGTTTATTGTATGTATCTGTAGCCATGTCCGTACCCCAGTATGGCAAGAGTCACAAACACATATGCTAATGGTGACCAGATATTGGCCAGGTGTGATCACTAGAGAGTGATGGGTACTGATGCCTACTGGAGAACTCATGCCCTATCTAAGGTCTAGCCTTTCACATCGCGTGCGAATGTTCCATGTTGCCAGATTATTGCATTTATCAGAAGATGCTATAACTTCAGATGTGTATGTAAAGTTTCCTGATTTTAAAACACTGTGTGTCAGATGAAGCAGATCTTTTGGGTATATCTTGCCCATGGCCAGCCAATTTATGACCCCCAACATTAGGCACTTGTTGGCGCCTCTATTACAACTGTCTTGAAGACCCGAGGAGGAAGGGGAGCCACAGAATAAGGCAGAGATGGAGCAGTGAGATGATAATGGAGTCAGGACTTCAAGAAAGATGGATAATTGTGTTTCAGAGAATTCGCAGGGATCAAGGGAATGAGAATAAGAAAAGGCCATTCAATTAAAGCAGATTATTTGATACAACATTATATTCACAAGCTGTGTGTTCTTAAAAAAATTTATGATAAAATAAATTACTATGAGTAATACTCAAACACCCAAGCAAAATGAAATAGTTTTCTTCACTAAACATTTTAATTGTCTTTAAAATTCTAATATGCAGTCTTCAAAAGGAGAACTGTTTACTAAGTTTTCCAAACTTACATGATCAAGGAGTTCTTATTTCAGGTGACCTCTCAAGATCTATATTTGAGGAAAACTTTCTAGGAAAGGTGGATAAGGGACTGAATGAGACATTGGGAATCCGAAGGCATGATGTGGAAACTGGAATGCGTAATGTGATGGGGGAGGGCATATGAGCCAATGGAGGAGCTTGGCAAGAAAGAAACTAGGTCTACTCATTAGTAACTAAGAACTGGAAGCATATTCATCTGGTAAAGTAAAACCTTTTTAGCATCATTTCTCTGCTAAAAACAAGAAAAAAAAAGTGAGGAATTCCCACCTCTGATGGCTTAAACTTCTTTGACATTCAAGACTCTCCTTTATTAGGCCAACTGACCTTTCTGATTTCCCCTCTGCTCTACGTACCCTGCTCTGCTCTGTCCTTAGAGCACATGCATTTCCACTCACCCTTGCTCACCATGGGGGGTGCCTCCCTCCGCTGCCCCAGTCAGAGTTGTGCCTGTTCTCCAAGGCACAGCTCAAATCTGTTTTTCCTCTGAAGCCTTCTTTAGCCATCAGATCTCACAGTGGGTTCTTTTCCCTGAACTTCTAGAGCATGTACTTCTGAAGGACTTGAGACTTAGTGTGTTGGAAATTGCCTATGTGATTTGGAGCTGAGAGAAAAGTATATCCTGAGCTGTATAGCTCTCTACCCCTCACAATACCCCCAAGTAAGGTTAGGGTGATATTATCCAGCAGCACATAAGAGCAAGGGTATAACCCCATCACAGTGAATTTTGTAGATTTGGTTCTGTTTTTACACAACCATCTGCTGTTTCCTGAGGAGAGCAGAGTCTGTTCTCTTCTTGCCCAATAGTAATGGGCCCCATTCCTAGATACCAGGCTGAATACTTTACATTATTGTCTTGGTGAATCCTACAACACCCCTAAGAAGGGGCCTTATATCCCCATTTTACAGAAGAGGAAACTATCTCTAAACATTCAAGTCAGCTTGCTCATGCTCATGTCCAACTCTCTAGCTGGTCAAGGTAGAGCCACGAGTACAACCCCATACACCTGATGCCGGAGCTGAGCTCTTTTTGTCCTAGCACATCATCTCTATGGCCACATTGGCCACCAGAAATTTAATGACAGAGAATTAAAGCCAAAGGTTTTACACTTTGCCTTCAAGTGACAAGTATATGCCAGTAGGCAGAGGAAAGCAGAGTAGAAATCTAGTTAGGATCAGCAAAATTTGAATAATCAGGGTGTTCTAGGTACATTCTAAAGTCCTAAGGACCTAGCACAACTCAACAAAGGTCCTCCTGAGAGCCTGTGGCTCCTGGTTCAGGTGAGATTTGCAGTGTGCAGCATCATGAGGGCACACACATGGCCTGGAGGGCATTGGAGATTCTTTTCTTCCCTGGCCACTCATTGAAGTCACAAGAGGGAGTGACTTCCATTTCCACCCTACTGTGAGCTCTTTTGCTTATCACTAAACTGAACTCTTTGAGGGGAGAAGCTGTTCTATTTACCCAGGCCTGACACATAACTGGTATATAAACGCATAATGATTATTTGTTGATTTGATGAATAAATAACAAGGCAACCATGGCAAGGTGCTCAAGGTGGCATGATTAAAAACAACACAATATAAGTCTACCTTTATTTCACCTTCAGAAAGCTGGATTAACTCAACCCATGTTATGTTTCTTCCCTGTTGTTTATACACTACCCAGAAGTCTCTGGCTTCCCAGAGACCTTGAGGCAACCCCAAAGCCTCCATGCAATAATGTCAAACCTCATCATTTTCAGGCCTCGTCTTCTAAGTTAGGTTGTGAAATCCTGCAGCGTATGATGTGTGTGTTACCCTTTGCCCTCGCCCCACATCTCTCAACACCGTGCTTTGCATATAGCAGGCTCCATGTAAATGCATGTTGAACAATTGCTTTGGAATGGATTGGAATTATGTTTGGGAGCCTGTCCTAATAGTTCAACCTTGGTAAATTCGGGTTACAAAGGGGAGAGGAAATCGGGTTAGTGACAGAGACAGAACAGGAAGAATGGGCAGGATCTGTCAGCTCAATGGATGTGAGAAGCGAGGAAGGAAGAAGAGAAAAAAGGATTCAAAGATTTTGATGCAAGCTGATGGATTGAAGGATTGTGACCAAGAGAGAAAGATAGAATTGCTCCTTCCCCATGACCCCCTCACCCTCACTTCTGTTTGAGCATGAAGGAGAGACTCCTCATGAATGTCAGGTTGAAGTCTTTCTTGGAGGCAGACAGACGTGGGACAGTCACTTAAGAGAGTCCAAGGGGACAAAAAGGAAAGGTTTGGCATCGTCCCTCTGCAGAAGAGCTTTGCTGAGAAGGAGGAGAAATTTGAGCTGAATGTATTTTTGGTTGGTACAACTTGTAAGCGCTCTGTTTGATAGCAGGGTTGTTTGAATGGCCTATTTCATAACTACACATAGCTTTCCCAAATAAATGGTGTCTGTAGAATGTTCAGGTTAATACATGAGTCCAGTGCTCAAAGTGTTTGTGCTCAGAGAGACTGAGCCTTCTTTCTTAATAAGTCATCTTGGCATTTTGTCAACAAGTTAATTTGCTTTTCTAAGAAACTAGATTAATACTTCCTGTACTTTGTGCTATTCACAGATCTACAATGCAGTGAGAAGGGGAAAAGAAACAGAAGATACAATTGGATCTCTTCTCCATTTCTTCACAAAGCTCCCAGCCTCCGAGACAGCCCATGAAAGGATTAACGTTGGTCCCTGCTTAAAGCAATGTGTCCAAGGCACCATATGTGAGTATCGTGCCACCCTCCAAAGGACCTCCATATCTCAGCACATCACCGGTTCTCTCCTAGAAGCAACCACATCTTTAGGAGCAAGAAGTGGCCTTCTCAATACTTTTGGAGGTTCCACCGGACGAATGATGCTGAAAGGTAGGTCTGAAATTTTACTTTTCACTTTTCATCTTTGAGTGCAGAAAAGAATCTAAGTTAACATTCACACACCTGCTGATGAAACATGGAGTTCACTTATCAGCAACTTTAAATAAAGGTAGTTGCTTTAAGAATATAAAAAGTCAGTCCTTTATCAAAATCACCTAAGGTGTAAACATTCCAAATAATAAGCATTCAGATTTTTATTTTTTTCCAAAATAAGTGTGTAATTTTTTATTTTTTTAAAATTACTCACAGAGATGATTTCTCCTAATGGTATTCCATGACAGATGTCAATTACTGTGATAAGATGCTCATAAACAAGTGTGGTCACAGTGAAAACAGTGGTTGGGAACAGAATGAAATATATAGGGTGGGGCAAAAGTAGGTTTATAGCTGTGAGTACACAAAACAGAGTTTATTATTTTACTATTATTTATTAATTATTGCATTATTTTCTAGGTGAACAACTGTACACCTACTTTTGCCTCACCCTGTAGTTCTCCTTCCTACACAGAATCGATAGGTTCATGTTGACCTGAAAAGCTAAGTCACCTTCCAATGATTTCCATCTTAGAAGATAAGATAATTAGGCATTCTCCTGAAAAATGAAAACCAGTGGGAAATGGGATCCTTCTGCATCAGAACTTCTCAGCTGCTTCCTGTAAGTAGCAGACAGGCAGGTCAGAAATGTCAGTGCGCCAACTTTGGAGATTTGCACACTACACAGCTGTCACAACCTGCTTGGCAGCCTTCCCTGGCAGGAAGCTGCCAACCAGGCAGAGACCACATAGAGCAGCGTTCCACCGACTGGGGGCTGCCAGGAGCTCAATCTGACATCCGGCCATTTATCTCAAGGAGAGCAGCTCTTATCCCTCCACAGCAAGCCCCAGACCTCTGACTAGTAGGCCTGTGACCTTTCTCAACCCTCAGCCTCCTCCTCCTCGCCCCCCTACTACCCTACACACACACACCCTGGGCAGACTGAAGAGAGGTATAACTCCCTGTGTACCATGTGGGTGCCATGTTGGTTTGTTTTCTGGAGTCCTCTTAACTTTTGTGGATTGGTTATAAATGATAAGTGAACAAAATGAAAGATGTAGAAACAGTAATTCACGAGACTCAAGGGGGAAAACTTGGTTTCATATGTTTTCCATTCATTTGTCATATGTTTTTTGAGCCCCTACTAAATGCTAGGTGCTAGGTGCTGGGTAGGGAAGAAAACATAGTTCTTGCCCTCGTGGAGCTTACAGTCCCTAGGTGGTAAGCAGTTCCCCATGCACAGGATTCAAGACTTCTCTGATGTGGCTCCTGGTGACCACCAAGCTTACATTCTCCATCAGTACTCTTCCTGGGAAGCTGGGCTGAGATTGACATGTGGAGCTGGCATTGCTTCAGTGCTTGTCACTGTGAGGACCTCATCCTGTGAGTTAATCACCTGTGTTTATCAGATACCCGCTCTGTGCCCAGCAGTGTGTAGGTTTATGGGAGATACTAATGAAGTGCCAGTTCATTTACTTGCCTTTAAGTTGTTTATGCTCCTAATGAGGAGGTCAGATTTGCACGCATCAGGTATTCAGAGAATAATATGAGACGGCAGAGAGTCAAGTGCCAAATAATGTGGAAGTGGCTCTAAATGTTCAGAGTTTGGACAGGGAGTTAATATTCCATGTGACAAATGGCTTGGCCTGAAACATGAGGCCTCAAACAAACAAATGAAAGTCAATAAAAGCTACTTTCTTCTCCATTACTTGCAAAGGGACACATCTCCTAGACCAAGGCAGGCTTCCTCCAGTCTGACACAGGCCTTTGGGGAGGAAAAAGGATGCTGCTGGTTAGTGTGTCTGTTGCCTTGATAGCAACTTGATCTCAATTGCTATTTGCATTTCTCTGTTCATATCAGAATTTCATAGATCAACAGTCCCAGCTCTGGGACTCATTGGACCCTCAGCTAATGTGTTCTCTCTAAATTGGTGTTTTATGCAAGGGTTGGGAGTTTCTTTAACTTTCTGTTTTCTGTAATGGTTTCTGATATCCCTCTGTAAGTGGCTTCTGCTGAATAATACAATTAGCTGGTTGGCTTCTGCTCCAGGCTTACTTCTGTAGCTCTGGCTTGTTTTCTTGGAAACCTTTTTAACTTCAGTACCCTCGCCATGTGGTTTTCAAAGTATTATGTGCCATAGTGAAACATATGTTTCTTCAACATGCAGTGAAAGAAAATCCATCAAAAATCCTATGGGTGGTTGAAGTCATGGAGTGTTTATAGAATCTATAGGTTCAGCATATTGACTAGTTGGGTCTTGAGCTATGTTGGCCATGTACTCTGGCAGGGGGTCTGGATGACATGCTGGGTGCTGTGACTTGGTTGTCTGGTTCTTTTATTGTTCACAGTGTGTCCTGTGGCATTGAGTTGGCCAACAGCTTTCAGCTGTGTATTACTAATGAAAATCTATGGGAAGTGTATAACGCACACTCAGTTCCCAGTTTATAAATGGCTTAAATCCCAGCAGTTCAATTCTCAGGAGCTGTGGCACTTAGAACACTTTCCTGGAAAACAGTATTAAGCGTTGTGATTTGGTTCACAGACTCTATTTCTCAAAAGCCTCTTTAACATGTAACACAGTTGAAATCTACACACTTCCCATGGAATAAAGAGAAAAACTCCATTTTTAGAATTCTGAGAATCAGCCTCCAAGAAAAAAGCAATACAAGTAAGTTAAAAGACATTTCTTGTTGAAGGGAAGTAATTTTAACCAAGATGAGTAGAAAGTTAAATTTAAACTTTTATGGAGATTTTTGAAAAGAACTTTGGGGCATTTCAGAGATTTCAGATGTTGACATCTGTAGTTCTTTTGTTATGGTTAATTAATATAGAAACTCATACCTATATGAAAGAATCAGGAAATTGTCTTAGTAACTTTTTTTTTCTTTCATCATTGTCTTCTTTTTTTAAATGAGAGAGGCTTATAAATGGAATGAAGAAAGGAAGAGAGGGGAGCAGGACAGGATTTAAATTTTTTTCCCCAGAGGGAAAGGGTAAGGAAGAAGGTGGAAAAGAATGACCTCTTTCATGAGAGAGATTATGTTTGAAGTAAATTAAATGAATTTTGGAAAAGTGGAGAAAAAGGAGGGGAAAAGACAAATACTATATGATTCCATTTATATGAGGTATTCAGAATAGTCAAAATCACAGAGACAAAGTAAAAAGGTGGTTGCTGTGGGCTGGTGGGGGAAGAGGAATGGGGAGGTAGTGTTTAATGAGCCTAGAGTTTCCATTTTCAAGATGAAAAGAGTTCTGAAAGTGGATGGTGGTGGTGGTTCTACAGCAATATGAATGTACTTAATACCATTGAACTGTACACTTAAAAATGGTTAGGATGCTGAATTTTATGTTATATGTATTTTAGCACAAAAAAATTAATCAAAAAATTTAAAAAGGAGGAGAAACATGTTATATAGGTATTTGGTCCCAGGTCTATTAAGATGTTAGAGAGAACCGAGGTTGTGAAAAAGAAATATGAAGACAGATAGCTTTTCATGTGACCTCCAGGTGGCTCAAGTCAACATATCTTCTGAAAGTGCTTATGACTGATTACAAGATGAGGCTTGGAGCAGCCTGCAGTAGTGAGAATAGGAGAAAGAAATGTCCAATCAGTTCATTATTCACAAGGCACTCACAAATCAAGAGTTGGTAACTCAAGGATTCATTGGCCAGAGTTCTACAGCCTTGCTGCTTGACCATAGTCGACAGGATTCTTCTGCTAACTCTTCAACATCTCCATGAGCTTGCACGCCTCCAGTAGTATTGGTAGCTCTAGAAAGACAGCCAACAATCAGTACACAACATTCCCAGTTTATGCCTTCAGGACCACCAAGGATGGTTTGTCTACTAAGTTCAAAGTTTGCCAAGTAATGAGAAAGATTTTCAGATATGAAGCACTGATCAGAACGTGTGTGTCCTTGATTACTCAGTGTGCTTTCTCAAAATGGAAAATTGAGAGCTTACACCATTCTGGTGGGACTTCCACGAGTTTGATACAATTAAGGTCCTTCTACTTCCTGTCTGGGTCCCCTTCTCCACTTTAACCAATTCTGGACTCTCAGGACCGACTGTATAGCAGTGGCAGTCAAAAGACTTATTGACTTCAATGGGCAGGAAAAAGTTTTCTAAATCTATCATCTGTTTTTGTTTTTTTTCTTTTTCCAATGCAATACCTACTGAAAATTACAAAAGCAAGATGAATTAAAAAGGGAGAGTAAAGAGCAAGATAACTGATAGTAATGTAAAGCACTGTAATAGCAACATTAGAAAAATCAGTAGTAATAAGGAAGAGAATTTTCAATAGAAGGCAGTTAAGTGTTTTCCAATGTGCATATTGTACCAGTCAATGTAATAAATTTAGTACATTAAACTCAATTATTTTGTTCTCAAATTGTTGCTAAGTAAGTTTGTAAATTAAAGGATTAAATATTTATATATAACCAGGACAGAGCTTAGTTACCCATATTTAAATTATGTAGTAGAAAACGGCACTGTTCATTTTTAAGCAGTTTGCATGAGTGTATGTGTAGGTATAGAATAGCTATATTAAAGTTATTGTTCATATATAGACTAAGCAGAATATTAATGTGAAAACAAAAGTACCCTACATATTTCATATTCTTATTTGAAAATAGGGAATATTTTATTTCTAATAGAAAGGTTTTTATTTCACTTGCCCTGGCCAGTGTGACTCGGTTGGTTGGAGACCCTGCCCACCAAGAGGGGGTGGGTTCAATTCGCAGTCAGGGTACATCCCAGATTGTGGGTTTCATCCCCAGTCAGGGTGCGTATGGAAGGCAACCGATTGGTGTTTCTTTCTTTCTCTCTCTCTCTTTCATCTTCTTCATTTTCCTCTCTCTAAAATCAATGAAAAAGAATAAGAAACAGGATGATCTAAAAAATGTTTAACTTATTTTCTTTTACTGCAATAAGTATATTTTATTTATGTCTTTTTCTA